ATAATTATTTAATTAAAAAACTATATTTTTAACATAAATTTAACAATATTAAATTAAATTTTATATAATCAATGAACTAACTATATATATTTAATCAATTTGAAAATTGACCTACCTAATTGGTTTTCCTAACTCCAATGATTGGATTTACTAATAAACGAATTTTGTAATATAGGTCAAGGGTTTAAATCTTGGGGTCAGTATCTAAAAAATTAATTTCTTTAAATGCATCTAACTAATGTGGGAGAGATGTCCTTAAGATCCATAAGAGAAATTAGTCTTAAAATATTTAAAATATGTAAAAATTAGCACAAGTAAATACCATAAAAAAATGTTGGCTTTCTTTTTGAAGCCTAACCTTTGGATCATGTCATTGGTACAATTAAGCGATGCCATTATTTCAAGATTAAATTTTTTTTCTCAAGTTTGGAGTTTGTTAACTATACTAGTTGTTCAGCACTTAGCAGCCTACCGACCCCTCCTTATAAGATATGCTTAGGATTACCAAGACTTGACTACTAATCCCAAGTCCCCTTTTCTCTTTCCTAAAAAAAAATTTTCCATTGTTAAAAAAAAAAAAAAAAAGCTATAGTAGGTTGTTTTTTCTTTTTTGGGTGGTGATAGGACTATACTAGTTCCTTTGATTATTATTTTCTTTTATTTTTAACTATACTGTTCTTAGGCCAGTGTAACCAGAGCGGGGACCATATTACTGCTGGACGTGGACAAGTCAAGCAACTTCGACTGTTTTTTGCTTCGTAGGTAGCCTGCTAACCTTTAGAGCTTTTAAAAGAAGTAGAAAAAAGAACGCAAGTCAAGTTCATAATTTCCCTAAAAATGAACGAACTGATTATAGTCAAAACAGAATGTTGGTTTTACAATTCATTTGAATAGCAAAACAGTTAATTATTGTTAGAAATGTAATGAATTTTTAGTTAGGAAAATTGTTACCTCTATCAATAATTAAGTAAATTATACTTAACAAACTACACTCAACTCGTAATAAAAAATTTCAAGCAGAAAAGTGGTTATATAGAACTGTAGTAGACACATAAATTAGGTAAAAGTTTCATCAACATTTTCACATTTCTATGGGTTAGATTTTCTCTAGATTAGAATTGTCTTTCCTATGTAAAATGCAATAAGCCAATAAAGCTTTGGGAATGGAATGGTCTTTCCAACGCAAAATATGATGGAACCACTCGATAGATACGTTTGAAATTTCCTCCTTCAATCTCCTTTGGAACGTTGTTGAAGACTCTTACCAGGTCGCGCCGTATCCAATGGTGCTTTGACTCCCGGTTGGTTGGTCACACATACTTTAGTAGATAAAACAGTAGACTTACGGTAACATCAACTTTGTCTCTGGGTGCATTTTTCCCACCGTATCCAATGGTGCTTTCCTTCCCGGTTGATCGGTTTCACAGACCGTAGTCCACGGGCAGCAGACTCTGGTAACATCAAAATTTTCTCTCTGTTATTTTATTTTATTGGTAGACTGATGTTTTATTCCAGCATACCTGTAGAAATGTATATGAAATGTATAGATACTCAGGTGATTGTGATTATAAATAACGAGGCAAAGAGGCCTATGTTTCAATACTTAAAGAAGTTGCAACCATTAGTCAATAAATCATTTTTGCCATCTCTAAAACTCACAGTTTGTCTTGTTTCTATTGACATTGTTGTGAGCAATGACGCCTTCACTCTTTTCTTTGCTTTTCACGTTACTTCTTACCACAATTTTCTATGAGATCAATGTGGTTTTGGTTTCTGGTCACTGTCAAAGCTACCAGAAAGAATTGCTCCTTCAATTGAAGAACAAGCTCGTCTTCTATTCCTCTTCATCTCTGAAACTGGTGAAGTGGAATCAAAGCCTAGATTGCTGCATGTGGAAAGGTGTAACATGTGATGTCAGAGGTCGTGTTATCGATCTTGATTTGAGCAATGAATGGATTTTTGATGGAATTGACGATTCAAGCAATCTCTTCAATCTCCAGCATCTCCAGAGTCTAAATTTGGCAAACAACGACTTCAACTCCAACTTTCCTTCCGGGTTTGATAAACTTTTAAACTTGAGGCATCTTAATCTCTCAAATGCTGGCTTCACAGGGCAAATTCCAGTTGAGATTTCAAGGATGAAGAGCTTGGTTACTCTTGATTTATCTGTAGATGCCGATTTCTATCTTGGATTGAAACTAGAGAAACCAAATCTAGTTATACTTGTTCAGAATCTCAAGGAGCTAAGGCATCTCCATCTTGATGGGGTAAATATATTAGCACAGGGGAAGGAGTGGTGCCAAACGTTGTCCTCTTTGGCTAGCTTGCAAGTATTGAGCATGTCAAACTGTAATCTTTCAGGCCCCATAGATTCTTCCCTTTCCAAGCTTCAGTCTCTTTCAGTAATTCGTTTAGATGGAAATAATCTGTCTGGTCAATTTCCAGAGAAAATCTTCCAGGTATGTGCACTAAAGACTCTTGACTTATCGGGCAACCTACTTCTTGAAGGATCTCTCAAAGAATTTCTTCCTGCTTCATCGCTTGAGACTTTGATGCTTAGTAGAACAAGTTTTGGGGGGACTTTACCTGAATCTATTGGAAACCTGGGGAGGCTGTCAAGGATAGAGCTTGCAAGTTGCCATTTTAGTGGATCGATTCCCAAAACGATGGCAAATCTCCCACAACTTGTCTCTTTGGATTTGTCATCCAACAATTTTTCTAGTCCAATCCCATCTTTTTCATTTGTAAAAAGTCTTACTCAACTAAACCTTGCCCATAATTCCTTGACTGGCTCTATTCTCTCCACTGAATGGTCAGGCCTTTCCCAGCTCGTGAGTATTAATTTGAGAGACAACGCACTAAGTGGAGCTCTCCCTGCAACTTTGTTTGGCATTCCATCTTTGCAAAGTTTAGTACTCTCACAAAATCAGTTCATTGGTGGATTGCATGAACCCCCAAAACTAGCTTCCTCTTCACTACACTCCCTTGAGTTGGATAGCAATATGTTGGATGGACCTTTCCCAATGTTTGTGTTTAGACTTCAAAGCCTCCGAGTCCTCATCCTTGCTTTCAATAATTTCAGTGGTCCATTAAATTTCAGTTCCGTTCTGAACCTCAGGGATCTTTCTACTCTTGATCTCTCATTCAACAGCTTGTCCATCAATGCAAACATTTCTAATCATTCTTCTTTTCCTCAGATTCACACATTAAAATTAGCTTCTTGCAAGCTGAAAAGATTCCCAAATTTCTTGAAGGAGCAATCCAAACTATCAATTTTAGATCTTTCAACCAACCAGATTAATGAGGAAATACCCAATTGGGTTTGGAACGCTCAATCTCTTAGTTACTTAAATCTTTCTCACAACTTTCTGGTGAATTTGCGAGGACCTCTTCAGCTTTCCGAAGTTTTTTTGTCTGTCTTAGACCTTCGTGGCAACAAATTGCAAGGTCCACTACCGCAGCTTTCACCATTTATGGCATATGTAGATTACTCGAACAATAATTTTAGCTCTATTATACAATTCGATGATGGTAACTTACTCCTCAGATTCGCTCACCTCTCCCTTAGCTCTCCTTCCTTGATCTTTCTCTCCAACAACAGCCTCCGGGGAAGTATTCCTGAATCAATTTGCAATGCTATAAATCTTGAAATGCTTGATCTGTCAAATAACTATTTGAGTGGCATTATTCCTCAATGCTTAACTAGGATGAAGTCTCTTAAGGTGTTGGACCTTAGTAGAAATAACCTCAGTGGCAGCATCTCTGGTAAATTTTCAAGTAACTGTTTGTTACAAACACTAAACCTCAATGGAAACCACTTAAAAGGGAAGGTTCCTAAATCCTTGGCTAACTGTGCAGGCTTGGAGGTTTTAAACCTCGGAAACAACCAGATCAACGATACCTTTCCTTGCCATTTGAAGAACATATCTAAATTGCAAGTCTTGGTATTAAGGCAGAACAACTTTCATGGGCTAATTAGTTGCCCAAATGACAATTCCTCTTGGCCACAGCTTCAAATTATCGATCTTGCTTCCAATCATTTTAGGGGAGAACTACCCTGTCACTGGTTACAAACCTGGAAGGCAATGATGGTTGCCTCAGATGAGTTCAAGATCCTTGTTCTTAAGGATGATTTTGAAGTTAATTTTGAATTTAACAACTATGAAATGTATCCAACATTGTGGCCTAATGCAAGCGCAACGAATACTACATTGCCTCTTATTATAAGAAGTACCCTTCACAAAAAAGAGTTGGAGGGCACCAATATCTCTCAAGGAATCTATTATCAAGATGCAGTGACCCTTACCATTAAAGGTTTTGAGAGAAAATTGATGAAAATCTCAAGTCCCTTTACCTCCATTGACTTTTCATGCAACAAGTTTGCAGGGCAAATACCAGAGGTTTTGGGGGAGTTTAAGGTACTTTATGCCCTCAACTTGTCACATAATGGTTTCACAGGTCTAATCCCTTCATCACTAGGAAACTTGCAACATCTTGAATCTTTGGACCTTTCCAGTAACAGCCTAAGTGGTCAAATTCCTCAACATCTAGGGGATCTTCATTTCCTTGCAGTCCTTAACCTTTCACACAATCAACTCGAAGGAGGAATCCCAATTGGAAGTCAATTTCAAACATTTTCAGAAGATTCCTTTAAAGATAACAAAGGATTATGTGGAATGCCCTTGAAGGAAAATTGCAGTGTTAATGGATTGCCACCATCCAAAGATAAGCATTCAGATGATGGAACCCATATTGACTGGAATTTCCTAAGCATTGAATTGGGATTTGTTTTTGGCTTAGGAATTGTCATTCTACCACTTATGTTATACAAGAGATGGAGGGTGTGGTATTGCAAACATATTGATGGTCTTCTTTCTAGGTTCTTCCCTCTATTGAATCAAAGAAGTAGAAGTCGTGGAAGGAGAGCTCCTAGGAGCACCAAAACACAGTTGAGGAACAAGCAACGGTGAGGACCATTGCGAGCACTATTCTTTAAACTTTAATCTCTGTACCATATGCCTACACTTTTCAATATCAATACTTGTCCTTGTTACAAAATCGCTTGTGATTTATGTTTTGCTTTGTATCCATGTGTTGTATTATTATGTGTTAAAAACTATTTTAATATTTGGTAATTATTTTATTAATAGTAAATGTGTTATTATTAATTTTAATTTTTGATGATGAAGATAATGATGATGATGATGATGATGATGATGATAATAATAAAATTATTAGAGAGTATATTTAAAATTATATTAAATTTTATTATATGTGTTAATGTTTATTAACTATATTTGTAAAAAATTTGACAGAAATATACTTTTAAATTACATTATTTTAAACATCTTAAAAAGCACTACGAAAAAATATTAAGTCTCATTTATATTTTAAAAAATAAGATATTATAATTATTTTTAGTGAAATTTAATTAAAATAACATAATTTTAATGTTTTTTTTTTTAATAAATTTTTTTGTAAGTGTTGCTAGTAAACATTTTTTTTTTCAAAATCAAATAATAATCAACAAGTGCCATGCGAGCCGATTTCCTTCAACGTAACGACCCAGTTTACTTCAACCTTTCTTGGGCTAGGTTAAGGTTAGGGGATAATTGGATCTTTGATGGATCAAATTCTTCTGGGCTTTAGACCCAGAATAAACAAACGAAGTGAGGTCCATCCCATAACCATTACATTCCGCTTTCACCCTCGGCGCTTGGCGCTTCTGGCGGTCTCCAGTTCATTCCCCATTTATTCCAAAATGGAGATTTCTATCTGTTGACTGCTGGTGTCGGTAACTTTCCGGCCTTCCTGCCGACAACTAACTTTCGTCCCCGTTCTTAGTCGATTTCTTGAGGATCAACGTTCGTCGTTGGTCCAATTCAGCAAAGCCGCAATTTCAATGCTGCTCTTTTCACTGGAACCGGCTGCGAGTTGCTGTTATTTGGCCGGCGTAACCTGCGGCAGCCGGGACCAAATTATTGGACATTGAAGGTAGTGAGTAGCGAATATTAGTGGAATGGAAATCGAAAACTCAAGCGATTCGTATGATCTTTCATCATCTTCAGAGCGTCAATTTAAGGTATGTAGCCTGGTACGAATTTCAAGTTAATTGTTTCTTGTTCTTATTTTAATTTTGGAAAATTAAATATGTTAAAGAATACTAGTTCCTATTTTATTCTTCCATTTGGATTATTTTTAAATTTTACTCTCTTTTTTTAATAATTTCTCGTTCTTATTTTCGTTCAGAGAATATAATTGCTGGGGTTAGGTTGAGTCCAAGTGGCCTTTATGGTATTAGGAGCTATTGAAGGAAGAATAGAAAAGAGAGTGGAAGTGAAGTTCATAATGTTCTTGAAAGCACATGTCGACGAATAAACTGATTAATTATAGTCAAAATTACAAGCTTAAATACTGAGAAGTAGTTAAATTAGCAATTGGGACAAAGCAGTAAAGCTTTAGAATTTTTTGATTGTGAAAACTGCAGCAAATCTTTGTAAATTGAATGTTACTTTCAATGCAGAAATTTGAAGGAACCTCAAATGGATACGTTTGAAACTTCCTCCTCCTTTCATGTTTAGTCGTTGAAGACTTTTAGCAAAGCAGTGTAGGGTTCAATGCTCACTCCCGTTTGTCTGGTTCTACATTTTCTAAACCTAGCAGTAGTTAAATTAGCAAGGCAAACCGGCCTATGTCTCAAAACCTTGGAAGTTGCTGGCTTGCTGCCAACATCATTTTCTCTCATCTCTAAAACTCACGGTTATTTTGGTTTCTCTTGATATTGCGAGCAATGAGGATTTCTCTCTTTTCTTGGCTTTTTATGATACCCCTTACAACCATTTTCTTTGAGATTAATGTGGTTTTGGTTTCTGGTCAATGTCAAAGCAACCAGCAGGGGTTGCTGCTTCAATTGAAGAACAGGCTCAAGTTCAATTCCTCTTCATCTGTTAAACTGGTGAAGTAGAATCAAAGCACAGATTGCTGCATGTGGGACATCGTAAAATGTGATGCCAGAGGTCGTGTTACCAATCTTGATTTGAGCAAGGAATGGACTATTGATGGAATTGATAATTCAAGCAGTCTCTTCAATCTCCAGATTCTCCAGAGTTAAATTTGGCATATAACAGCTTCAGCTCCATGTTTCCTTCTGAGTTTGACAAACTCGCAAATGTGAGGCATCTTAATTTCTCAAATTCTGGCTTCACAGTGCAAATTTCACTGGAGATTTCAAGAATGACAAGCTTGGTAACTCTTGATTTAGCTATCAAATTCCTAATGGGTCGAGGTTCATTGAAACTTGAGAACCCAAATCTAGTTATGCTTGTTTGGAATCTAAGGAGCTAAAGCATCTCTATCTTGATGGAACAAATATATCAGCGCAGGGGAAAGAGTGGTGCCAAGCTTTGTCTTCTTCTCTGCCGAACATGCAGGTATTGAGCATGTCAAAATGTTATCTTTCGGGCCCGTAGATTCTTCCCTTTCCAAGCGTCAATCTCTTTCAGTGATATGTTTGGATGGAAACAATATGGTTGCTCCAATTCCAGAATTCTTCATAGAACTAAGGAACTTGACTTCTCTACAGCTTGCTGCCACTAATTTGCAAGGAAAAGTTCCAGAGAAGATCTTCCAGGTACTTACAATAAAGACTCGACTTATTGATCAACCCATTTCTTGAAGGATCAACAACTTTCATGGACTAATTAGTTGCCTAGATGACAATTCTTCCTGGCCACTGCTTCAAATTATCGATCTTGCTTCCAATCAGTTTAAGGGAGAACTGCCTTATCATTGGTTAAGAACCTGGAAGGCAATGATGGTTGCTTCGGATGAGCTCAAAGTCCTTGTTTTGGAGGAAGATATTCATTATGAACTTGATCATAACAATAGAATCTCTTAAAGATGTTATGGTAATTCTTTCACAAGAAACACTCAAATTTGCAAGGATTCTGAAGGATGTTATGGTAATTCTTTAACAAGAGATATCCAAATTTGCAAGGATGGCATTGGGTATACTACTTCAAGGACAGATGTGAAGAGAGGTAACAATATTTTCTCTCAACAATATTTTCTCTCAAGGAATCTATTATCAATATGCAGTAAAAATTACCATTAAAGGTTCTGAGAGACAGTTGGTGAAAATCTTAAGTCTCTTTACGTCTGTTGACTTTTCATGCAACAAGTTTGAAGGATAGATACCAAAGGTTTTGGGGCAGTTCAGGGCACTCTATGCCTTCAACTTGTCTCATAATTGTTTCATAGGTCTAATCCCTTCATCTCTAGGATACCTACAACATCTTGAATATTTGGACCTTTCTAGTAACAACTTGAGTGGTGAAATTCCTTAGCAGCTGGGAGATCTTAATTTCCTGGCAGTCCTTAACCTCTCACACTATCAACTCGAAGGAAGAATCCCAAGTGGAAGATAGCTTCAACCATTTTTAGAAGATTCCTTTAAAGATAACAAAGGATTATGTGGGATGCCCTTGAAGGAAAATTGCAGCATTAATGTATTGCCACCATCTGAAGACAAACATTCAAATGATGGAACCCATATTGACTGGAATTTCCTAAGCATTGAATTGGGATTTGTTCTTGGCTTAGGAATTGTCATTCTACCACTTATGTTATGCAAGAGATGGAGGATGTGGTATTGCAAACATGCTAATGTTCTTCTTTACTAGATTTTCCCTCGATTGAATTAAAAGAGCAGAAATCGTGGAAGGAGAGCTCCTAAGGGTACCAAAACACGGTTGAGGAACAAACAACTGTGAGGAGCATTGCAAGCACGGTTCTTGAAACTTTAATCTAAGTGTTATATGCCTACTTCTTTCAATATTAAACTTGTACTTGTTACAAAGTCAAATGTGATTTATGTTTTGCTTTGTATTGATGTGTTGTATTATTATGTCTGTAACTTAGCGTATATCTTTTTGTTAAAAATTATTTTAGTATTTTATAATTATTTTATCAGTACTACATGTGTTATTGTCAATTTTAATTTTGCTTTTGGATCTTTTTCTCACGATCTAAGTTCTTGTGATTTAGGAAGTGTCTTTTAACTCCCTAAGTAGACTTTAAGGACTTAGACGAGAAGATATAGCCCCCTAAGATTTTCCCTATGAGGTTTCTCTTCACCTATGTCACCACCCACCCTGCCTTCTCAAAACCCTTTTATAAATAACGACATCGTCTAAAGTTCTAATATAAAAGATAAGAAAGTTTAATATATTTTCAACTATACTCTCCAATAATTATTTTATTATTATCAAAAATTAAAATTGACAATAACACATACATTAAGGTATAAAATAATACCAAATACTAAAATAATTTTTAACAATGAGATATGTACTTAGTCACACACATAATAATATAATATATTAAGGTGAAGACAAACCTCACAAAGAAAATCTCTAAAGGTAATATTTTCTCGTGATCTAGGTCTTTAAAGCCTAGTCTAAAAATTAAGAGACCCTTACAAAAACAAAAGAACTTAGACCTAGGAAATTCTTTATTTGGCTTGGACTTGTTCCATGTTGAAAACGGGTTGTCTTCAAGTCCTTCGCAGGTGTAAGCTCAATCCCGACTAAGCCTGGCTAGCGCTATCCAAACCCAAGATCCACTTGTTGATGTCCCACTTAAAATTATTTTTAAAACCAAATGAAAAGTTAAGTTTTTATAATTAAAAATAAGAGTTATTATTTATCTAAATTATAAGATGAGATAAGTTACTTAAAATTAAGATTTGAGGATAAGTACAAAAAGACATATAAACAACTCACAATTTTTTGTGTAGAACATGGTTACATATTTTAAAAGTTGAGAGTTGATTTCAACTTATAAACATCTTTTAAGTTTTTTTCTTTTTCTTTTTTTGAACAACAATATACATCTTTTAAGTTAATGGCTTTAAATTGGACAAACCAAACATGCATGGGTATAATCCTTTCATCTATAAGAAACTTGAGTTTGATTCTTACTCTAGTTCAAGTTGAATTTAACCCAACTCAAGTTTGAGTCAAGCAATTGACAAGCACTTTAATTCATTATTAGCTTTAGTCCCAAGCCTTATACATTAATCCATTTTATTGATAAAACACAATCATGTCTAATCAACTTGTTGGATTGAAAAGTTGATTCGCAAGGAGGTCACACAAAAATAATTCTCTATGA